ACCCTGCTGGTCTCTGCTCAGGTCCAAGCGGATCCCAGATGCCGCCTTTACAATCTTGATGGGTTCTGGTGCTGTTCGGGTAGCAAACTGGACCCCTGAGTCAATCTCAGCTCACTGATCTTCAGCAACAGAAACCTGAAAAGTCATTTTTCACATTTGATGAGTTCAACTCATCAAAGATCAGATGTCATCATCGGGAAGACGTCATCAGACTCTGACCTTTTCTCGGTGTGGTTTTATTTAGACCAGGAAGTCAAGAAGCTCCCTTCACATCTGATTGGATCTTTAGATTTAAGGTTGTTTGTTGGTTCTTAAAGGCTTTACTGTTGCGGCCGGCGGGTCTCTCGGGTCTAATGAAGACAGCTGACAGGATCTGATTATTTTAGATGATTTTAAAGGTTTAATGTTGATTTTAACAGTAGAGAATTGATTTCATCTGTTTATCGTCAAACTCGCTCTCATTTCTCGTAACTGCTTTATCCTCAGTGGTGTCTCAGGGAGGCGGTGTCTGACTCCAGCAGGTCCTGGGGACAACCTGGACAGGTCTCACGTCCATCACAGGGACAAACACACTCAGGGTGGTTTGGAGGCTCCGGGAAACCTGACATTAGGGCTGCTCAATTAATCGAATTTTAATCACGATTACGATCTGAGTTTTGAACGATTATAAAAAACAAAACAAGCCGATTATTTGCTCCTCCCACTTGTGCTGCCCTGAGTTGCAAATGAAGCGCTCCTCCACAGTGTTGCCAACTTGGCGACTTTGACGCTATTTCCAACAGCTTCTCAGACCCCCTTCTTGACTTTTTAAATCTTAAAAGTACCTAGCGAACACCTGAGAAACATCTCTGGTAACCCTTAGCTACTTTCTGGATAACTGTCGTCGACGTTTCCTGCAGGTTAGCTAAACACGCCGCCTGCGCTCCCGACCGTTCTTCACAACATTAGGAAAGGGAATGATGTAGTGATGTGTCAGCCGCTAAAGAAACGGCTCTCGGAGCCGGCTCCTTGTTGGAGTAACCAGAGTGAGTGACACACACCGCACCTGCGGGCTCCTGAGCCGCTAAAAACGGCTAAATGTGCGCGTACGGCGTGCTAATCATACGTGCAGCTTGCCCCTGATTGCTGTGAGACCGGGGTGGGGGGTGGGGGTGCTGCTGTGGTTGGGACAATGGACGACCTGTAAATAAATAGTTTATAAATAAGGTAGAAATAAGTTCCTCACACTGATAAATAATAACTAACCTCTCTGAGGACACGGTGCTAGTGCACTCTCCTACAGCACCTTGACACGACTCAATAAATGTTATGCAATATTTTGTGAACATCAATTTATTTGCGTTTATTTGTTATAAATGCCACTGTATAATTCTTGCTGTCAGTATTTGCAAGATATTGGTATTTGGGTCTGTACTGGTTAGACTTAAATGAGTTAAACCAAGGTCTGTAGCCCTTGGGTCATAAACTATGAGCTGTAAGTATATTGGTTTTTTTATACTGGGAATCAGGAGTTATTTTAGTGATCATCTTGTTTCTTATTTACTTTTTGTTCTGATTGTGCCCTGAGCAATTTTATGACTGAATAAAAACAAATAAAATCAACATAAATAGAAAAATCGTCCTAAATAATCGTGATCTCAATTTCAGTCACCATAATCGTGATTATTATTTTTGCCATAATCGAGCAGCCCTACCTGACATGCATGTTTTTGTCCTGTGGAAGGAAACCGGAGTGACTGGAGAAAAAACATGCAAACTCTACGATGAGAGGCCACAGTTGGGATTTGAACCGGCACCCTTCTTGCTTTCAGTCTGGGTTTAAGTCTCTCCATAGTACAGAATCAGCCCTGTTGATGGTTTTGAATGATATCATGATGGCAAACGATTCTGGGGAGACTGTGGTTTTGGTGCTCTTGGACCTGACTGCGGCATTTGACACCATAGACCACAATATCCTGATTGGTCGACTGGAGCACTGGGTGGGAATATCAGGCTTAGCACTCCAGTGGATAAAATCTTACCTGTCAGGGAGGAAGTTTTGTGTAAGACTGGGGGACTGTTCGTCTGATACTGCTGATTTGCAGTGTGGAGTGCCTCAGGGATCAGTCCTGGCACCCCTCCTCTTTTCCTTCTGTCTGCTGCCGCTGGGTGACTTGTTTCGTCTGCACAACGTCAGGTTTCACCTGTATGCGGATGACTGTCAAATCTATTTACCTGTATCATGCAATAACTCAAGTTCTTTTAAACCACTCTTGGACTGCTTGGAGGAGGTCAGGTTATGGATGGCTCAGAATTAATTGTTCTTCAACCAGAATAAAACTGAGACTATCCTGTTCAACTCGAAATACAAACATGGATGTGCCCAAGGGATTGACTCTCCTTCATTAGCACCTTTTGAGAAGGCTGTGGTCACCAACCTGGGGGTGAAGTTGGATGTGGAGCTCACACTGGACAGCCAGGTCGACGGAACAATCAGATCCTGCTACTTCCATCTCAGGAGAATAGCTAGGATTAAGCTGTTTGTTTCACGTAAACATCTGGAAACTGTCATCCACGCCTTCATTACCACCAGACTGGACTACTGTAACTCGCTTTATGCAGGCATCAAGCAGGCCTCCATAGGGAAACTACAGAAGGTCCAAAATGCGGCAGCCAGGTTACTGACTGGTACCAGGAGATCTGAACACATCACGCCTGTCTTGGCATCCCTACACTGGCTTCCAGTCTCCTTTAGAATTTCGTTTAAAGTTCTGGTGTTTGTTTTTAAATGTTTACATGAGTTGGCTCCACGTTATCTATCAGATCTGATCCATCCGTATGTTCCCTCAAGGAACCTTCGGTCAGCACAGCAGGACTGCTGGTCGTTCCCAAACACAGACTGGAATCTCGAGGGGGTCGTGCTTTCTCGGTGCTGGGGCCGAGGCTCTGGAATGAGCTACCTACACGTGTTAAACAGGCCGCCACGCTCGGCAAGTTTAAGAGCCGTCTGAAAACACACTTTTATTCTTTAGTCTTTACTCAAGAAGAGCCTCGTTAACGGATGGCTTTGCACTTTTTACTCCCCCACCTAGATTTTATCTGCATGTTTTTGTTGGTTTTTAAATGGTTTTAAATGTTTTTATTTTTTATGTTTATTTCTGCTGTGCAGTGCTTTGTTTGGTCCTCGGGCCATGTGAAGGCGCTATATAAATAAAGTTTAGTTAGTTAGTTAGAGGGAGCAGTTCTGTCATCCGCACCACCATGCAGCCCTTTTAAGATAACTAATGTCTCCAGCTTTTGGAGACATTTTTCATAACCTGATCTACAACACTAGTAACCCTTTAGGCTCCTTCATGAATTTATTTCCTTTTGATCGTTTCTAAACCTTTAAAACTCGTTATGGAACGTCTTAGGTTCACATTGCCAGGAATTACAAGATTGTTTCTCTCATCTAGTTTTATTTATTTTTTACACAAACCTGTAGGAAAAGTGTTTTAAAAGCACAGTTAGATTTATTTTAAGCTGAAACGCACCTAAAAACCGTCACAATCACTCAGATTGTTCTAAACCTTACATTTATCCTCCTGAACAAAACATTTCATCTGTACCTTTGTCTGATCCCTTCACCTCTGCAGGTCTTCTGCAACTGCCGTCCCCGTTGTGTCCGTCTTCACTTGTGATGCAATCAGACACTTTACCCAGCCGCGTGTTTACACCAGATTATAATCATCACCGTTTCCTTTATAAATATGACGCTGAGGAGGAGCAGACACCTGGAGGGACGAGCAGACACTCAAACACGAGCTGCACCGTGTTGGGGAGCTGGCCCGTTTCTCCACCAGACAGACAAGCAAACATGTCATTGAAATTTCCTTCATCCAGTCATTTGTTATGAAGTCGGACACAACCTAATCATAGACAACACGTCCCACATAGACACATCTGCATGTTCATGCATTTCTAAACAATCTATTTTAAAGTGATGGATGGAAAAGAAGCAGCCTTGATGGATGGAAGTGGGGATGACAGCAGAACAACTTTGTGGAAATAAATGACAGAAGGATGGAGGAATGAGAGAGGAGCAGAACGGAGGCGGCAGCAAGGGGAATGGATGGAGATGGAAGTGATCCGCGGAGATGGATGGATGAATAATCTTATAAGGATGGAAAGAAAGAAAGTGAACGATGGATAGAAGCAGCAGTTGAGATGGGGAGAAGAGTGATGATGGAAATGTGAGAAAAGAGGGATGCGTGTCAGAGGAGAGTCTGGAAACAGCTGAAAAGACTTCTTCTGAGCGATGATGGGATGATACCGGCAGAGCGATAAGTGGAGCGACGGATAGAAACAGAGTGATGCAATTGAAAAGAGAAGTGCTTTCATTTAAGAAGCAAGTGATCAGAAGAGGAGAGGAACGGAGAAGTGCTTGGAGTCAGAAAAAGAAGCAGCATTGCGTTTTTCTCACACGGAGATGACCTGAGCGAGCAAATTTAATCTGTCCTCAGAGCAGCAGCGGCCTCCTGCGTCTTAACTCAGAAGCAGGAAGTTAATCTCATGATCCTCAGATTGACTCTGATGATTGGATGGTTTACGGTAAACAACGGGCTGGCCATCCCGGCTTCACGCTGCCTACAGCTGTCACCGTCACAGCCAGCCCGTTTCTCAGGTGCACCCGAGGTTCTGCCCGTCCGGTCATGCTCCAGCCCAGACGGTTCTGCGGAGGGTTCCTGCTTTAGACTAAAGTCCTGATGAGTGGGAATGAGTTTGGCTGTGAGCATTTGCAGGAACTCTCTCTGGGTTTTCGTTGTTTGGTGGCTTTAACGGGTCAGAGCTGGAGCAGAATCCGGATCTGCAGCAGCAACAAACCATCTCCGTCTCCTAACTCCTAATCCCTCGTGTCCTCTGGAGCCTTCCTGGTTCTGTATGTTGAGGTTGAGCAGAGCTGCTGAAACCCTTTCAAACAACTTTAAGCAGAAAAACTCAGATTTTCGTAACTTCCTGTTTGTTTTGTTTTCTTCCTGCAGCACATGAACAACCATGGCCGTCACCTCCTCGTTGCTGCTCCCGCTCCTCGTCCTCTTCTCCTGCCTCCCCTCCTGCTTCTCCAACATGCTGTGTCCGAAGCGCTGCACCTGCCAGAACCTGCTGCCGTCCTACACGGTGCTGTGCGCCAAGACGGGCCTCCTCTTCGTCCCGCCCAACATCGACCGGCAGACGGCTGAGCTCCGGCTGATGGACAACTTCATCACGACGCTGAGGCACCGGGACTTCGCCAACATGTCCAGCCTGGTCGGTTTCTTCTTCTCCACCTTCACGCTCGGCTGCGCGGTCACAGCCAGCTGTTGCTCGGTTTGACTGAACTTCTGGTTGTCTGCAGTTTGGTTATTGACTTTCTGAAATCAGGGTTAGGAGTCCAAAACAACAAATGTTTCTGATGCTTTATTATGAAGTGGCAAAAATAAAATGATCCACATCCTTTCAAAATCTCCACGTTACAAGTGAGTTACGATGAAACCAGACTGAACTAGGGTTGTCTCGGTGTGAAAATGTAACCTCACGGTTATCGTGACCAAAATTACCACGGTTTTCGGTATTATCGCGGTATTTTTTTAAACGTGTTACATTTTCAGATATCTACATAAACCCTGTATATCAGGAAAATATTGTCCAGTTTGTGTCTAAATTTTGCCTAAAATGTGTTATTTTGTAATTATGTTGTTTATTTGTTTACATTTTTCCCCTTTAGTCTTTAAAATACCAATATCTGCCCATAATTTCTTATTTTATGTCTGTTTGATGTCATCATTTTAAAAATATTAGATCAGATGATACTCAGTACTCAAGTAGCCTTCTAATCAGATACTTTTTTACCCTTACTTGAGTAATAAACCCTATATCAGGAAAATATCGTCCTCGGTTTGTGTCCTTCCAGTGAGCTTTGCAGATGTGGGAAGATGTCATCAGGCAGTAATCATTGTTAAATTCATAATTATTCTCGGAGAGAGACCAACTCTTATCTGCCCCTGGGAGCCCCGTAATGCATAGCGTCATTTCAACATGGCGGTGTCCGCGACACGGTTTATATGCAGGTAGCGGCGCTGCGGCTGCTTTATATAGCGACTCGTTGCATTCTCCCTCAACCCAAATCCTCGGATCACGCATTTTAGCTAAAGCGCTAACGTTAGCTTGCCTTGCGTTGACTGTAGAGTTGTGGGTGATGGTCACGCAGATGTGTCATGAGATTTGAAGCGTTGCTGCCTTTCACAGACTCTTTTTCTGCACGTGCTGCAAACAGGATAGCCGTCTTTTATCAGCTGTCCCTCGGCATTCTTCACATATCCAAAAGATGCCCGTACTTCCCACTTTGTCTTCTTTGAGGGATAATAAATGTCCTGAGCGCTGCCGTCTCCTCCTTTGGCCATTATTTCAGCTTTAGCTTCAAGAAAGTTTTGGTTGTAAACAACAAAGTGCGCATGTGCCGCCGGCATGGACGTAATTTGCGGGGGGGACATGTCCCCCCCACTTTTTCCAAAGTCAAGCTTTGACCCCTGCACTTTTTACCATCCAAAAACAAAATTACGCTATATTAAATTGACACTGGTTGATCTCTAGGACCAAGCGGAAAACAACCGTTTGTGTTAAAGTCCCATTAGTTGTCACACACACAGGTGTGTGTGCGAAATTTGTTCTCCGCATTTGACCCATCCCCTGGGGGAGCGGTGAGCTGCAGACACAGCCGCGCTGGGGAACCATTTGGTGGCTTAACCCCCCAATCCAACCCCTTAAATCTGAGTTTCAAGCAGGGAGGCATTGGGTCCCATTTTTCAAAGTCTTTGGTACGACCCGACCAGGAATCAAACCCTGATCTCCCGATCTCAGAGCAGACACTCTACCACTAGACCACTGAGCTGGTGAAAAGTTAAAGTCCCATTTGTTGTTGAAGCCCGTTTCCCATTAGAGCATACTGTACAGACACCCCCCCCCCCCCCCCCCCTCTTTCTAAAGTGAAAATTACGTCCATGGCTGCCGGCTACTTCAGCAGATGATACGGTGGCTGGTAAGGGTCACCGCGCCTACACCACAGCCACGGTAATCC